CACACACACACACACACACACACACACACACACACACACACACACACACACACACACACACACAGAGGGTTGTTCTGAGTAAAGTCGACCACTTTCCTCAGGGGTATCCCTAACTCTGGGTAGCATGGTAAGTCCTTATTCATCAGAACAAATGCATTCTGGGCAGACTGTCGGGGTTCAGCCTCCTGATGAGTCGTTGAAAGTCCGACGAAACAGTCTGTTTGGCACAGTAAAGGGTTTTTTTCTGAAGTTGTGTATGGGGAACACAACAACACACACAAGCACACACAATCAGCTCTATGTATGTCTTTCTTCCTTTTTCCGTATGTCTTTATTTCGGTCTCTTGTAAGTCTTTCTGCTTTTTTTTTTTTTTTTTATGTGGCCCGATGGACCACGGATCAGATATTAAACTGATCAGAACAGATACTACACTTTATCTTAGCCAAAAGGCCGAGAAAGGTATAAGTCTTTCTGCCTTTTCTTTATGAGTACTTGTCGTTTTTCTTCCCGTTTTCAACCCTTGGCGAACATGACAACACGCACAAGGACTATGTGTATGTCTAAGTGAGCACCTTCAAGAAGTGATAACAGACTGATGACTCCCAAGAGCTCATATTGACGGAGTCAATTCTCCCATTCATGTACGGGCCTCGCTAGAGGCTTGTGTTTTCAAAAAACTGTTTGTGATGAACTGCGCTTTTCGAAACTGCGAAAACATCAGTCAAAGACTCGAGACTCAAAACTAAACAGTCGTTGGCATGTATCGCGTTTGGAGTGCCTGTAATACGATTAGAGGAGGTGCTCTGTTCGTGACGACGGTGCGGATCCTTGGCTTTATGTACATTGCCCAACCGGGCATGTATCATGAATGTGGTCTACTTTTGATGGGTGGGTGATGACAGATGTTCATCGGAGTGACTCAATAGGTGGTGGGAACCAACAGCCAGTGGGGTTTACTAGTGGTGCCAGTAGGCGATGGATGACCTGCTTCGCTGCTCATCCCACTTGCTTCCCATGTCGCTCTTTGCAGCTGGTGTGTTTGCCGTGTGGTGTGGCTGTTTTGTTGGTGTTGCCTTGTCCTTTGCTGCACTGTTGCCTTGTGCTTTGCTGCGTTGTTCCGCTGTTGCCTTGCTGCCTTGCTGCCCATCCGCGCACCTTGCCTTTCCACACACTTCGAGTGTATGCCACGTAGTTTGGCTGCTTTGTTGTTGTTGTGGACGCATGATTAAAAATCAACCTCAGATTGGCACGGGGGTGTTGGAGGGGGGATTACACGGGAAAAGGGGTGAGAGGGGTTAGAAATGGAGATTGTTAATCGATTCAACTGGAAGAACGGATGCATGTTTTTTTTCTTTTTTCTCTCGGATGGACATTCTCTTGTTGATCGTCCGCTTGCGCTGTTGACAGCACGAGTGTGTGTGTGTGTGTGTGTGTGTGTGTGTGTGTGTGTGTGTGTGTGTGTGTGTGTGTGTGTGTGTG